TCCCAGAGCCCTAGGACTGCCTACACATGGGATCCCTGGGGCAGCTTAACCCCGCCTGGACTGGGTCTAGCAAAGGCTGGGAAAGGGCAGGATCCTCTGAAGTCCCACCTGCCCCACCCGGGCCTCCAGCCTCAAGAATGGGGCCGTTATTATGGACAATGACATTCTGTGCCCCAGCAGCCTCCAGAAGAAGCTGACTGGACAGAAAAGGAAAAGAGGAGAAAACCAGGGCTTGGCAGAATTTACATTCAGGGGTGAGGGGTGAGGGTGGTGCCGCGCAAAAGCAGAACTTTGAGAGCCGGAACATGAGCCTGCTACAGAACTTGGGGCCTTGCTCCCAGGGCCGGGCCTGTGTGGAGAGGGCACCCCGTGAGGCCCTGCAGCCACTCTGGAGTTATGCCAAGGTAAATGGAGGCTCTGGTCACACACCTCGAGGGTGATGTGACCTTGCGTTAGGTCTCAGCCTTACCCAGCGGATGCCTACAGGCTGCGAGCATGAGATGGGGCCCAGGAGTTGTTCTGGCCCCCAGGACCCACCCTGCAGAGCACAGGGGCCTGTAGCACAGCTCAGGCCCCCTGTACCTCCCACTCCTCAAGCCAGTGGGCACACCCACCTGCTGGCAGCAGGGGCAACTCTTCTGCATTCTGCCTAGGTGGCAGAGCCCATTGCTGTGTTGATGCTGGAGGTGAGGGGGCCCAGAGGGCAGCCCCCACCCCACCATCCACTGGACCACAGAACGCAGCTGTGGGACAGAAATTATGATAGTGGGTGCAGGACTGTGCCCACTGGGTGGGGCAGCAGGCAGAACTGGGATCTGTCGAGGCTTCAGGCTGGTGTGGGGTAGGTCCTGGGAGTGTCCCACAGGCTGGACAGGCTACAGGAGGACCAAGGTGGTGGTGGTAGTAGGTTTGGGGTCCAGGACCCCAAGGAGTGCGCAGCCGGTCTCTAGGCCCACACTGAGCACTTGTGCCCCATTCCATGCTGAGATGGGACTGAATGCAACCCCAGCACAGGTGGGGATGGTGGGGCACTGTGCATAGGCATAGGTCCCACAGCTGCAGAGCCCCACACCTGCCTAGCTGTCCTGACTGACCTCGCTCCCCCTGGAGATCCCTGAACCTCCCCTGGCCAGACAGACCTGATCTGAGAGGTCACCGGTACCTGTCTACCTACTCAGGTGTGCAATGGGCCAGAGGCCCATGGTGGCTGCCTCACTGGTCACCACTGGCCAGTTCTCACCAGTACGAGTGTGAGTGCATGAATGAATGAACGAATGAACAAATGAAGGAAGGAAAGGGTAAGGAGCAGGGGTCTGAGGAGCACCCCCCCCCCAAGGAATCAGACCCTGGGCTCAGGAGGACAGAACTTGCTGTGTCACTGCCCTGCTGCAGGTGGCCAGCATGGTCCCAGAGCCTGTGAGTCAGCCCGGGGTGCCATGGTCCAGCCCCCCAATCCCCTGGCCCAGCCCACCCCCCTTTTCCCCGGAGACCCTGCTTGTGGGTGAGACTGGCAAGAGGTGTAATCTTCAGCCGCTAATTTCAATGCCGGCAGTTTGCTGAGCTAAAAATAGCCTCTGCTCTTGTTGAGTTGAAAAATAGAAACTGCGTTACTGCCTTAGAATGAAGCCTTTCCCAGCCCCTATGCACACCAAAGCCTGTCCCCAAGACTCTGGACTGCTTGCTTGGGCTCCTAGATGAGCCTCTGGCCTGGCTTCTTCAGGATTCCAAGCAGCATGCTGTGGTAACGCACGCTCGTCAGCTGCCAGGCAGAGAGAGGGTCTGAGTGTCTCAGCTTCCAGGAGCAGTACGGGCCATGCAGGATGGGGGCTGGGGAAGCAGCGCAGGGCAAGCAGCTTGCTGTGTCCCCAGCTGAGAGGCGGCTCTGTGTGCCCTGCTGCAGACAGGCGAGCACTGCACCAGGCACTCTGCCTCCTTGTGGTGAATATTTGAAGTGCACAAGGCTGGTTGCTGCAACTGCCTTTCCCACTCGCTCCCAGTTGTAGACCAGGATCCCGGGATCCAGGATCTTGAAACTGCTGGAGATGGACAGGTGGATGGAGGAGGCCCAGCCCTACCCTGGGTTGGCCGTGCCAGGTGATGTTTGTAATACCCAGCTACCTCCCCTGTTGCTGCCTCAGTCCCTGTGGATTGGGCAGATTTGAGTCATAGGCTCCCGAGACTGGGCACACAGGTGGCCTAGGCACAGGTGCCCCACGGACCTCCAGGGCTCCAGGACACATTTTTACTGAGCTTTCTCAGCCAAACTAACCTCTCCTCTGCACACCTTCCTGCCTGGATGTGACAGTGTGGCCCTGTGGGGACAGTGCCAGGGTTTCACTGTTCTGGCTGGTGTGGTAGGGTGCTATGCCTGTTCCTCTGTCCACAGGAGTCAGTCTTTCTGCAGGCCCCAGGCTGCATTGCTTTGCCCATGGGGCTGGCCATGGGTGAGGTTGGGATGCAGCTGAACCCCCTGGGTCCCAAGGACACTGCCACTCTGGGGTCCAGAGGCTCCTGGGTGATCAGTGCCATCCCCCAACCTGACATGGAGACACTTGGAGGACTAAAGTGGAAGGATGGTGTTGGGGCACGAAAGAATCCAGGTGTTTGTGGACCTGGCTGTCCTCTCCGGGCAGTTTCCCAGATTGTGCCCAGAATGTCTGTCAGGTGCCCCCTTCCGTGCTGCATGGGATGTCAGGGACCACATGAGAAATGGGCAGTGAATGTGTGGGTGCTTCTGACATCCTACGAGGCCACTTGGCAGAGCCCTACCCCTCTCTTCCCTCCCAGAGTCAGCAACCTCTGCCATGGAAGCTCTGTGCCTACTCTCAGCTCTGCAGTTCTGAAAGGCTGGAGGCCTGGGTCCCCCACTGCTCCGGCACAGCTGTCCCTATAAGGTGCAGTGTGTGTGTACCAGTGTGCATGTGTTGTAGTGGTTGAGAATGCTCAGAAGCTGAGGTGTCTGCCGTGTTCCTGGAGGCCTCTTTCCCCAGGTACCTGCTGAAAGGACCTGAGACCAATGACCTCGTCTGTGTGTCCAGCCAGCAGGGAAATGTGTGTGGCCATCTCCATTCCCTTTAAGGCCCAGCAGTAGGACTCCACACACAGAGAAGTCCAGGCACGGCTGCTGGAGCTGGCAGGGGCCCCTCCCTCTCCTGGGACCCTGGGTTCCCAGTGTCTTTTGTGGCCTGAGTGACTTGGGACATGAGGAGCCCTGAGGCTAACTTCAGGAGGCCATGAGTCACCAGCAGCCTCTCTGTGCTGACTGCTCTGTACTTACAAGATGTTGCCTTCCTCTTGGCACAGGAGGAGCTGTGAGGGCTGCTGGCTACCAGCTGCAGCCTGCTTCCAACATGGGGCTGCGTGGCTCCTGCCTGGCCTGGGCCATGCTGTGCAGTGGTGCTGAACCTAAGGCATGTGTGCCACAGTGGGCTGTTTGTATTACTGAAAGCTGTGAAAGGTTTGTTATCACTGGCCTAGAGTGTTGTGTGGGTCAGCTGTGTGTCCAGGGGACTGAGAGCACACAGTGACAACAGCTCTGGGGTGAAGCTGCTGAGTTTAGCTCTTGCTCCCCCAGCCTCCTGCCCCTGTGCTCCCCAGGGTCTCCCATCATCCCAGCCTGCCACTGCTTGTCACCTTGGGACCCACTGGGACAGCTGTGGCCTTTAGTGAGGCAGTGACAGGTCTGTCTGCACTGTTTTACCACACAGGTGGTCACTGAGTGTCCTGGGCCTTTGAAGGGACGGGAAGGACAGCTGCTCCCACCTCTCACCAGCTGTTGAGCCTTACTCAGAGAGCTTCCTGGAAGTGGAGTGCCTGGTGGGTGTGGAGCTGCGAGCTTTCCTCGCTTGGCCTCTGTTCCACCGTTTGTCCACATGAATGTCAAGCTTACCCATGTTTCTGTTGAGTAGGGCCTAAGCCCTTTGTTCCTGAGTGAGGTGCAGGCCCTGGCTGCTGTGGTGGCTGGAGAGCAGCAGCCCTGAGCCTCTGGGGCCGGGAAGCCATCATGGCTATCTGTGCCTGCACAGCTCGGAAACTGAGCCAGCATGACTGAGGCTTGTGGCAGCCAGTGGAGTTGTGCAGGGGCCATGGAGCCCACGGTGGGTGGGCTGTTGTCCATCACTTCCTGAGCCAGCCCCTTCCTAAAAGGGGGTCCTCAAGGGCCACCACACAGGAGACAGCAAGGCCTCAGGCCTATGTAGGGCCAGGACAGTCAGGGAGGTTGTAGGTTGATTGCCTTGTGTGACCCAACTGTGGTCCACTGTGCCCATGCCCATTGACCATGAGACCTGGGAGCCTTTGGGCCAGTGGGAGAGTGACCTTCTGAATTGTTGGCCTACTGTCTTGTGCAGTGGAGAAACTGAGGCCTGGAGGGCCACTCTGTGCCCCATCTCCTGAGACCTCCTAGCAGGGGCCAGGCTATGTCATGAGCTGGTGGTGGTGGGACTTTGCAACCCCCATCAGGGTGGCCAGGCCCTCTGGGCACCTGCTTTTCACAGGCTCTCACTCTGAGTGCTGGATCTTCCCTGGGCCAGCCCTGGGCTTCTGCTCTATGCCTGAGGCCCACCCTCATGTGCTGCACCCAGCCTAATTGGCTCCCCAGAGTTGCGGCAGAATCTGCCCTCAGCTTCCAATGCTGCCCTTGGTCCCTGCTCTGTGCCAGGTTGGGTGCTGTCAGCCCAGGCCTCAGCCCACTGTCCCTGCATGCCCCCTCCCACATACCTGGGCTCAGGACCTAATACCTACTTGCCTTCATGCCTAGGACCTGTGTCTTCTCCTGGGAACTGCATGGGCAGCATCTAGCCCTGTCTGCTTGGGCCAAGTCCCTGTGCTTTCTCTTTGTCTCTTTGTACTTTGCCTCTTCCTGGGTGTCACTTTCTGGGTAGGGCTAGTGTGTAGGAGCACAAAGCGATAGACACATTCATCAAGCTGCATCTGTGGGCTGCAGGCTTCTGAGGTGAGGCCTGAGGTACCCCAGGCCTTATGGCCTTGTTCCTCCCCAGGAAACTATGCCCCAGACATCTGTGGTCTTCTCCAGCATCCTTGGGCCCAGCTGTAGCGGACAGACACAGCCTGGCATGGGGGAGCGGAGCAGCGGTACTGGTGGTGCTGGGGACCTCGTCTTCCAAGATGGACGCCTTGTCTCTGGGTCCCTGGAGGCCTTGATGGAGCACCTGGTCCCCACTGTGGACTACTACCCTGATGTGAGTGATCTGGCCTGGGGAGGGACACAGGAGGACTTGGCTGTCATTCAGGGGACATACAGAGCTGCACAGCTGCAGGGGACAGTGGGCCAAGGCAGCAGGGTGGGGGGACACTGGAAGCTTCTAGTCCCAGGGAGGGAAGGATGCAGGAGGGCCCAGACTGGAGCCCAGAACCCTGGTTCTTGCATGAGCCCCTGGGCCCAGAAGTAGGGACCCATGGGTCCCTTTCCACCCTGGGGACAGAGACTGTCCCTGCATTTGCCTGCTGTGGCCAGGCCTGCCTGCCCCTTCCCCAATAGGACAGTCATGCCCTGAGGTCCACACAGTGTGGAGGTTCAGGGCCACTATGGGAAAATGTGTCCATGTGTGGCCACATCTGTTTGCCCACCTGGCCAGGGATAAGGGAGTAGAGCCAGGATCAGGCACCCTAGAGTGAGGACGGCCTGGCCTCAGTGCCTGCAAATATGGCTCAGCTCAGAGTCCTGTGGAATACCCCACACACCAGACATAGCCCCACCGACCAGTCCTGCTGGCCCCTGCCCTATTACTAGCCCTTCCCCATCCACCAGGCTTTTCTTTTTCTTTTTCTTTTTCTTTTTTTTTTTTTTTGAGGGGGGGGAGGCAGGCTCAGAATGCCTTCAGGACAGGTTTGGCTGGCTGGAGTTGTGGGGATCCAACCACAGCAACCAGCCTGACTGCTTTGTTGAAGCAGCCACTTAAAGAACTGAGCTAAGGGGCAGGCCCCCCACCAGGCTTTCCCTGTTTCACTGATGGCCCTGTCCCTGCTAATAGGCTGCACCCCACCATTAAGACCTGTCTAGATCTGTGGATGGCCCTGTCTCCAAAGTCCCCGCCTACCAGTTGGCCACCCCACAGGCCTCTGGATCCTCCTGGGGCATAGGGTGGGCAGGGCAGGAGATGGGCACACAGGGGGTGTGGGGACTCCAGCAGCACTGGCTGGCCGAGGTTGGGGTCATGCAAGTGCCCCTGACAGAGAGGTCTGTATGCTGTTCCCTCCCTAGAGGACATTCATCTTCACCTTCCTGCTGACTTCCCGTGTTTTCATGCCCCCGCACGACCTGCTGGCTCGCGTTGGGCAAATCTGCCTGGAGCAGAGGCAGCAGCTGGAGGCTGGGCCTGAGAAGGTGAGCTGGAGGGAGGCTGCTGGGAGGGTGGGTGTGAACCCCCTCAAGGGGCAGCTGAGCACCCTTGGCAGGCTACAGCTTTGAACCTCCACCAGCTTCCTGGTATCTTTGCTGGCAGATGAGAGTGCAGTTAGGCTGTCTGGAGAGCCTGGGTACACCAGCCCAGGCTGGCATCTGCTCACTGTAGGCATCCTCAGGGTTACTGACTGGACTGGCTGGAAGCCACTGCTGGGCCTCACATCCTAAACCCAGCTTTCTTGCAGAAGGATGTGGTGAGCGGTTCCATCCTTTACCTCCACCAGTGTGGTTGAGGTTCCTGATGCTGAGGATTGCAGATGAGGCCATGGGTGGCCTGTGGCCCATTTGTCCCCTCAGGGTGGCTGGCTACAGGTAGCATGGCCCAGGGCACCTACTGGCAAGAGCATCCAGGTTCCCAGAGCATTACGCAGTCACCCTGCACTGTGGCATCACAGTCTGGCCTAGGTGGGGCAGGCAGAGACCTGAGCAGGTATCCAGGAAGCTATGGGGCAAAGAGGGCTTTTGCTGGACATGGCATTTGGCTAGTCTGGCACACAGGGTGAGCGCTGCATCCCTGCCCTGTCTCTGGACAGGGGAAACCCAAAGCATCTTCCAAGGACAGTGGCCTCCCTGCACCCTCACTCCTTGGCTTTCTGTACAGGGCGGCACCCACCTGGGTATGGGTATGGCGTGGTCTAGGTGACCGCAGGGTGCGAGGCCCTTGCTGATGCAGCTGCAGGGCAGCCCAGCTGTGCCAACCTGCCGTGGAGAGTCTCATTTGACATTCCTTCCCTGCATGCTTTATTAAAAAATTTTTTTTAAAGATTATTTATTTATTTATTTGGTACAGGGTCTCACTACACAGCTCAGACTTGTAGTGATCCTCATGTCTCAGCCTTCCCAGTACTGGGATTGCAGGTGTAGGCCACCATGCCCAGTTTTGGTGGCTGGCACGATGCGTCCAGCATTACAGGGCCAGCATGGCATACTGTCTAGATCTGTGGATGGTCCTGCCTCTGAAGGGCCAAACCCAGGTCCTTGCACTTGCCATGGAGACGCTTAAACCACTGAGCTATCTTCCCTGCATTCTCTGCATGATTTTGATGGGTAATGTCAGGCTGTAGCAAATGAGACCAGTGTTCTGTGTTAGTGTGCTGATGGGGTAGGGTTTTGAAATTGACTTTATTTAGGTGATAAAATCAACATAAAGGGTTGAGAAACAAACAGGATTCCCTTGGTGGGGACCATGGCTGCTATCTCAGGGTTCACACTGACTGCCTCACTCTGTCCCCACTGCTCAGGCCAAGCTGAAGTCCTTCTCTGCCAAAATCGTGCAGCTCCTAAAGGAGTGGACAGAGGCCTTCCCCTATGACTTCCAGGACGAGAAGGCCCTGGGCGAGCTCAAGGCCATTGCACACCGTGTCACCCAGTGCGATGAGGTGAGGGTGTGGGCAGTGCCTGCAGGAAGGTGCAGGCTAGGGACAGCCCCAGAGGTGGTCTCCATCGCTCATAGCTTCACAGGTCCCCGCCATGCCCCCAGGTGGCGGCTCAGCTGGTCAGCTGTGGGCTGGATTCGCAGCAGTCCCCATCCAAAGCTGAGGGCATCTCCTGGCCCTGGAGTGGGCTGCGTGTATCTGGGTCTGGGTGGGTGCATCCAGAGGTAGGAGTGGGTAGGGCCTGGTGGCGCCCTCACCGTCCTCTCCTAACAGGAGAATGGCACGGTGAAGAAGGCGATTGCACAGATGATCCAGAGCCTGCTGCTGTCCCTGGCCGCCCGGAGCCAGCTTCAGGAGCTGCGGGAGAAGCTGCGGCTGCCAGCTGTGGACAAGGGGCCCATGCTGAAGGCCAAGCCACCAGCGGCACAGAAGGACATCCTTGGCGTGTGCTGTGACCCCCTGGTGCTGGCCCAGCAGCTGACCCACATCGAGCTGGTCAGTGCCCTACATTGCCTAAGTGGGTGGCTATGTTCACCTTCACAGGACCAGGGCTGCTGCCGGAGCTGCCCTCTGTCCAGAGCCACAGAGACCCTGATGACCATTCTTGTGACATAGGGTGCTGGCTTCCTGTCCTGCCATGAGGTTTCTGGCTGTGTGCACAGGGTAGTAGGTGTCTGCCTGCTCCAGGGCCCAAGAACACAGAAGCCCTGGGAATGGAGGGGCTGGGGGACAGGTGCTGTGGTGGTGCCAGGATGGAGAGCTGGGGTATGTGTGGGTGGAGGGCCACCTCGCTCTATGGCATCATCCCTTCCTCAAGCAGGCAGGTGACTTCTTTGCTGTCCCTACAGGAGAGGGTCAGTAGTATTCACCCTGAGGACCTGATGCAGATCATCAGCCACACAGATTCATTGGACAACCACCACAGGGTGAGTGATCTGGGCACAGCGCCCTTTGGGCACAGTGTGGGGACCTCCTGGTGACTTCCTTAGGGCATTGTGATGGCCACATGGGGTGCATGTGCTGGGAAGGCATGGTTAGGCCTGGGTGGGGGACCAGGGCCAGCGTGGGGCTCACTGTCCAACTCGGGTCCTCTGGATCTGTGACCTGCTTTGTTCCCCAGTGCCGAGGAGATGTGGCCAAGACCTACAGCCTAGAGCACTATGACAGTTGGTTCAACTGCCTGAGCATGCTGGTGGCCACCGAGGTATGCCGGGTAAGCGCAGGGCAGGGCGGGCATAGAGGTGTGCCAGGTGAGCATCACAGCAGGTGAGCAGCTGGCCCTCCATTCCAGGGAGGCTCTAACACCTGTTCCATCTGTCCCAAAGGGAAGATGTAATTTAGAAGGAAACATACCAGGTGCCCACAGCCAGGGCTCAGGCAGTTCCAATGTGAGGGCTCCTGAAGGGACAGTGGCTCCCATGACTAGCACCCTTCCCCCAGGCCACAGTGGCAGCTCCGTTGGTCGGAGTATGTCTGGAAGCTCAAGCCCTGTGCCTGGTAGTGTCCACACTGAGCTGTCCCACTCTGCAGGTGGTGAAGAAGAAGCACCGGACCCGCATGCTGGAGTTCTTCATTGACGTGGCCCGCGAGTGCTTCAATATAGGGAACTTCAACTCCATGATGGCCATTATCTGTGAGTGGCCAGGCCAGGCTGGGCAGGGGCCTTACTGCCCCTGCTATGGATCCTGACCCCTGCCACTGTCCCTGCAGCTGGCATGAACCTCAGTCCTGTGGCACGGCTGAAGAAAACGTGGTCCAAAGTCAAGACTGCCAAGTTTGATGTCCTGGAGGTAGGCATCTAGTGCAGCACCTAGAAGTGACCCTGCCCACTGAACAACCTGGATGACTCTTTGGGTGATATCGCCTGGTTCCCAGACCCCTGGGTGTCCTGGAGGTTGGGAGACCAGATCATCTGTGGCTCTGCCCAGATATGTTTGAGCATGGAATCCACTTTTTGGAAAATATCTGTGCCTTGTGAAACAGCTTGGGTCTGGAAGGCACTGGGGAGTCCAGAGGAAAAAAGGGCTAGGGGCATGATGGGTATGGAGACTCTGGCAGCCACAGCCCTGGGCTCTGCAGTCACCTGCTTCAGGGTACCCCAAGTGATCTGGGCCTCAGCAGTCCCCTTGTCCTGTCTGCAGCACCACATGGACCCATCCAGCAACTTCTGCAACTACCGCACGGCCCTGCAGGGTGCCACGCAGCGGTCCCAGATGGCCAACAGCAGCCGTGAGAAGATTGTCATCCCTGTGTTCAATCTCTTTGTCAAGGACATCTACTTCCTGCACAAAATCCACACCAACCACCTGCCCAACGGACACATCAACTTCAAGGTGCACAGCATGGTGACTGGCAGAGGCCATGTGTCCCCATGCGTACTGGGGCTCTGAAGGGTCATCAGGGTGGGTGGGCTGTTGTATGCCTGTGAGGTCTGAGGTGTGGCTCCTGCCCTCTGTGGGGCCCTCTGGCCACAGAGCTCAGGCATGGGAACCTGTACTGACCCAGATTGCTGGCTTCAGCACTGAACTCACCAGAGAGCCAGAGGAAGGACTGGCCCAGTGTCAGGTCTTTGGGCAGGAAGAAGAGGGCAGGATAGGTGCCTGGAAAGGCCTGTGGCAGTAGGCAGATGCTTGGGCCTGAGAGTGAGACAGCACAGACACTGCTGCTGCACTAGGCAGCAGAACGGAGGGTCTCAGGGACCGGACCACCTCTGAGGCTCATGGCCATCATGGCTGCAGATTTGCCACATGGACACCAGACCCAGGTTCCTGCTCTTGATCATGGTTTTAAGCTCAGGGTGACAGACATCCCACCTTGTGTCCCTTCAGAAGTTCTGGGAGATCTCCAGGCAGATCCATGAGTTCATGACCTGGACACAGGTGGAGTGCCCCTTTGAGAAGGACAAGAAGATTCAGAGCTACCTGCTCACAGCACCGATCTACAGTGAGGAAGGTAAGCACCCCAACTCCAACCTCACCCCAGGCTTCAGAGGCTACTTGAGCTGCCAGTTGGGAGGGCATATGTGCAGGGTGAGTGTGGGCAGGTGACAGAGGACGGGATAGGTTGCCAGGAGGAAGATGTGCTCAGGCCCTGACAGGCAGCCTCCCAGTAGGCACGTGCATTTGGTAGAGGCCCTAGTCCCCTGGCAGACAGCCAGGCACAGTGGGCAGAGGCCAAGGGTGCAGCGCTGAGGCCTCCCTGTCCCTCAGCTCTCTTCGTTGCCTCCTTTGAGAGCGAAGGCCCTGAGAACCACATGGAGAAGGACAGCTGGAAGGCCCTCAGGTAGGGATATGGGGACCAAGGGCTGCTGCGCGATGGGTGAGGGCTGGGGCATGCGGTGAGCAGGCCCAGCCCTCTGAGCCCTGCAGGAGACTGAACTCCTCTGTGCCCCACCCCCAGGACCACGCTCCTCCACAGAGCCTGAGTGGGATGCGCCTGCGCCTGCACCTGTGGACGCTGCGATGCTCACACATGCACTGTCTTGGGGGATGTGGGTTGAGACCAGGGGGCCTCACTGGTTGGGGTCCATTTTGTACATAACTTTTATGAAAAAGAAAATGGTAATTATTTCATGCATCAACCTTTGGCACTTACAAAGATTTTTGTTTATTTTGAGTAACAGGGCAGGGCCCTGCTTTGGGGAGGGGTGGGAAAGAGTATCAAGGGAGATGGTATCCATGATAGCATCTCCTAATGAAATGTAGAGTTTTATTTTCTACTTTTGATTATCAACATCTTATGAGAAAATATTTAGAAAACCCAACCAAAAGCAGCAGTGTGAGCCCTGCCTGCTCGGACACCTTCCCAGCCAGTCTCTGATGTCGGGTTAGTGCCTTAGAGGGTACTGGGGTCCGGTCTTCCTGCTCGAGTCCTGCCATGGGCAGTGGCTCCTGGGGAGGGGCTGGGGCAGCCGGAGGGCAGTGAGCCTTCGGATGCGGGCTTTCCAAAGTTTACATTTCATTTTCCTTTATCAGGGATTTAGGGGTCAGGGAGGGCAAGGGGTAGCCTGGCAGCGTGTTTCTGTAAGACCACATCTTACAGATTGATCTTTAATTGCATTTTCGAAAAGAGCAAATGTAAAATAACAGGGGAGGGATTCCTGGCTTTCCATTAGGGCTTTTCACTGAAAAATGCCCTGAACTGTCCTGAGGAAGACTGTGGACTCAGGACGGTGCCTGTTCAAAGCTGCTCCCAAAGCCCCACGTGGGACGAGGAGCTCTGTGGGTGTGCGTGTGGTGCCCAACGCCCCCTTGCAGAGAATCTGAACCCAGAAGATCGCCAGGAGGTTCACTGGAACCCTTTCTACAAAACTGCCCAACTGGGACGGGTCCACATGCCACCTGAGTGCCACCCACGTCCCATATCAGCCTCCTGGCACAAACCCTGGGCCTTACTGATGGGTCGGTGGTGCTGTTGGCCACACGACTGCCTCCCTCGGGGCACCTCGCCCTGCCCTCTCTGGGCTCTGGGGGCCTAGCTGCACCATGCTGGTGTCTGCACTTTCCTGCCCGAGGGATGGATTGCACGGGACAGTGTGTACTGTTCTGTTTACGCTTTGGGATAAGAAAGGCTGAAATTGAGAATATATATTTGGATACAAAGTTAGAACATTTCCCATGTGTTGAGGAGCCTTCATGTCAGTGTGCGCTTGGTCTCCGTTCTAGTACTTGAAACAGTGTTCACGTTTGCTATTTTCCTTTCCTGGTTTGATACATAGCCTCAATTCAATGTTTTGGTATCTGGAGATGATCTCTGAGTATAAAGCTGTACCATAATGCAGGATGTCAGTTTCGGTGTGATTGGTCATACTTGCATCAATAAAAGAACATGTTGTTCCCCACTTGTCTGCCCTTGTATGTAGTGAGGATGGGCTGGAGGTGGGGAGGGGGAAGGGGATGGGGAGGGGACGGCTGGGGGAAGGGGGAGAGGAAGGGCAGGAGGAGGTGGCAGCAGCTGCCAGAACCCACCTTGCCCTGCGGCCTGGCAAGGAGTTTCTGTCTGCTGCCTTGCACAGGACTCCAGTCCTGCTCTCTCAAAGCACACTGAAAAGACATTGCTGGGTGAGGGGGTACACAGCCATGTCCGGAGGCCACCTCCCCTGTGACTAGTCAGCACCTTGCCATGGTATGGGCTGTAAGCTGCACACATAACACTGTGTGCTGAGGACACCCCAGCCTGGGAAGGAAACAGTGGCATCTGGAGCCCTGCTCCTCTGGCCTTCCCCCTTGCTGGTGACAGTGTCTGCAGTGGCAGGACATCCGCTGGTTATACTGCCAGGCATGCTGATCATAAGCACAGGTGGGCACTGAAAACAGCAGCATGGCCAACAGGCCCTACCCTTTGGTGCCCATGGAGAGGGTGGCACTGATGGGCTCCTCTGTGCAGTGGCTCCTGGGCTGGTGCCAGGCCAGCAGCACCTATGTGCCTGGCAGGCCCACTGAACTGGGCAGCCTGCGTCCCTGACACCCTTGCACACCTGCTGGTGCACCAGCCCCTCAGTGCTCCCACGAGTGTCAGCTGTGCATGGGCAGCCACTCCCAACGTGTGCAGCAGTCACCCTGCCTGCACACTGGTCTGGCTTCCAGAGCAGAGCTAGCTCTTCTGAAGTGTCACCCCCACCTCACTCACTAGGGGAACAGACCTACTGTGGGAGACCCCCGTGAGAGGGATGCACATGTGGGTGGGAAGGGAGCTCTGGGCCTGAGGCCTGGTCCCCAGCTCCCAGCTGCTGGGATGAGTTACTTAGCTCTTCAGGTTCCACTTGCTCGGTTAAATGGGGATCATGGTCACCTCTGTCCTGGCTTGGAACGGGATGGCTTAGGGTGCAACCCTGACTGCAAGCACTTTTCACAGGACACTTGAGGTCCTGGGGCAAAGGCATACCACCACCATGAAAGAGCCACTTTGTGATTAAATTCAACCACAAAGCTTATCTGAGGGGGAAAACAATCAAATAAATTTGAAATTTAAAAATTTTCTGAACATGTACCCTACAACCCACCCACAGCCAGTTTAGATCATGTCTGACAGTGTCCGTCTATACTACCCCAAGAAGTCCTAATCCTGTTAGAAAAGTGAGGAAGGGGCCATCAAGTGTGTACCCACAGGCCCGGGACCCGCATGCATCTTCCATAGGTGCTAACCCATCACACCCCGTGCACCATGACCCTTGCGTTCCCGGCACCCTGAGACCAGCACACCCGTGCAGGGAATGAGAAGGGTGCCGGCACCCATGGAGACACACCTCAGGGTGACAGTAAACTTGAAGCCAATTGCTACCCCGAGACCACCACAGGGCTTTAGGGGAACCACCTGGGTTGAACCCCAAGACCCTGTGAGCCTCACAAGGCTGTGAGTACAAATCATGCCAGACCTTAGACTTCAAGCAGAGGACTTAGTCTGGCATGGCTCTGAGCCAGCCGTCTCCAAACTCAGCGGCAGCTCACCTACATTCTAGGCTCTGAAATCTCCCCTTGGCTCCATCTCATCTTCTGTTATTCCTATCTATGGGTTTTAAGCATTCAATTACTGCACTTTTCATTTCTACATGTTCTATTTGGTGTTTTCAAAATCTGCTTGGCCATGATTCAGAAGAAATTACCATTACACAACACAGAACAACAGAGCCAAGAACTGGGGCGTGAGTCGTGGAGGCGGCAGCGCCAGTTTCGGTACACAACAGCAGAGCCATGGAGGAAGGGCCGTGCAGAGACTACACTCAAGCGCACGACAGCTGAGGATTCCCACAATGGATGTAAGACAGCAATCTCAGGAGCCCGAAGCATCTCAAGCAGGCTCAGAATACAACCACATGCAGATGCACGCAAAAAGGGACTGCGGGACACCAGCAGACGGCCCGTCCTCCATCACTCCAGGCCAGCGCCACCCAGGAAGCATGCAGAGGGAGCCGCGAGGCCAGGAGCACCTGGAGCAGCTGCGGGGAGCAGCCAGCAGAACACGTCGCCTGAAGGAGGACGTGGAGATGTTTATAGGCACACTGAGATGGAGTTTGCAATCAGCATTTTCACCAAAGAAACAGTCTTGGATCCTGTGACCCATGTGGAAAAATTATTTAAATACATATTATTTGATTTTATTATATAAGAAACTCAATAATATATGTAAAGTACAAAATATGAAATAGAAAAAACACAAAAATGAAACAAGTTATCAGTGGAAAATGTATCTAAAGGAGTATTGTGACTTAGTTTAACTGTCCTAGGTTTTCCTAGGTCTTTTGGGTTGGTGTCTGGCTGTTTATCTGCATGTATGAGCTAACTCTGTATGGACTTACCAATGTCCCGTAGTAAATGAAACCACTCTGAGCTTAAACAGGACTAATAAAACTAAAACTTTTAAGAGAAATAAAAAATTTTCCAGAGGGACTGTAGACCTAAATCCAAATACAAGAACATATCTAAAAGAAATGAAAATTCCTACTACAAATTAGAACAGGCAAAGGTTACTTATCATTACTCTCTAGCTATGAAGGAACAAAATTGGTGAACTGGATTTTATTAGGATCTTTTGTTTAATGGGGGTGAAAAATAGGGCCCTCCTGGGAGAAGATATTTGGAATATATAAATCTGATAAAGAACTCAAAGCCAGAATACCAGGTTGGGGACGTAGCTCCATACAGAGGCCCTGGGTTCAATTCCCAGTAGTAAGAGAGAGGGAGAGAAAGGCGAAGAGAGGAGAAGAGAGAGAAGAGAGGGAAAAGGAAAAAAGATAACTTTGTAAACTACACCCCAACTTTCAAATGTATTAGTATACATTTCTAGAAACTATCACTTACCTAAAATACTTCAGACAAAACTGACCCTAAAAAAACCAAAATCTGGGGGCTGGGAGGTAGCTCAGTAGAATAAGTATTAACTGGCAAGTGCAAGGGCCTGAGTTCAATCCCCGGTTCTGCAACAAACAAACAAGCAAACAAACCCAAAATCTGAACAGTTCTACAATCATTTACATGACTTGGGAAGCGGTGATCCCAAGTCACAGGACAGCTGATGCCCAAGTGGCCTAGACAGCATGCCAGAGCCTCGAGGAAGAACTCAGTGCATCTAGAAACAGTACGGGGGGACACTGGTGACCTTTCACAAGCTCCCAGAAAAGGCCACCATGGCTAAGACAGGTAAGGGACAAGCAGTCTTCCTCACAGACACAGATGAGAATACGTGAATCACTCACACACATACACACTGCACAGAGATGGACATGTGTGTACACATGTATGAGAAAACTCAGCCATACAAAGGATAAAACGTGACTGACCAGCAGGAGTCTGCTGCAGCAATGGAAGGGCTCCTTCAGAAAACTTATTAACCCAGTTCAGCCACATAATGGAGGAAAAGGGTATCTGACAAATGCTAATAGAGTATTAGATAAATGCTCTGAAGCATGGCAGAAACTCACCAAGTAAAACCAGAGGGAACTTTCTTAGCCTATTAAGTTATTCACCAAAATCTTCCAGCAAATAGAATCCTTACAGATGACACGTTAATGTAATGGCCCTGAGCTCCATCCCACAAGCCCCATTCTATGGCCAGTCACAGCAGGACACTGTCATAGTAGTGCACAGAGAAGGAAAAGAAATCCAATTTCATTTTAAAATTTATATTTTTATTTACTTGGTACAGGGTCTTGCTATGCAGCTCAGACTCATAGCGATGCTCCTGTCTCAGCCTTCCCAGTGCTGGGATTACAGGCATGCGTCACCATGCCCTGTTTCAGTGGCCAGCACAGTGTGCTGGGATTCCAGGGCCAGCCAGGCACACAGTACTAGAGATTGAACTTGAGACCTTGAGCTTGCCAGGCAGGTGCTTAGACCACTGAGCTATCTCCCCAGTCCAGAAATATAATTTTTGAAAATGGAGAAATGAAACAAAGCTCTCACAGGTGTATTACGGCTGTGTAACAGGAAAAATGCAAAATAAGCGATACAGTGGTACCTTGGTTTATGAACTTAGTTTTATGATTTTAGAAAAGATGGTCATGTTTTTGTGGGAAAGATGGCTTCAGTGGTATTTGTCACCTAATGCAAACAAAAACAGTACTTTTTTTTTTTTTTTAAATAGCACTTTGTGCAATTCAGATGGGATTCCAACATCAACCCTTTCTTTTTTTGTGTGGTGTGTGTGTGTGTGGGGGGATGACAGGTTTTTTTTTTGTGTGTGTGGTACTGGGGATTGAACTAAGGTCCTGGTGCTTGCCAGGCAAGTACTTATTCTACTGAGCTATATCCCCGGCCCTAAACAAAAATAAATTTTGCTCAGTGTTGCTAGCTGTAGCGGTGCACACCCACCAAGGGCCAGGTGGCGACTGCAACTGCAGAGGTCACTGGAGAATAGCATACGGGTGCAGAAGGAGCCCAAGCTGGGCCTCAGCGTGCCCCTCATGGGTGTGGGCACAATGGCTATGATCATTGCTGACTGCAATTATTGCTATGGTCTCCAGGGGAGGAGCCCCCATGTACCCCCGCTATACAGCACTGTGCCTGGAGGTGACTCTGAAGACCACAACAGATGGGCCTGACCTGGAACTGTTCATAGGCCAGGAGCATGTGGCACTGGCCAACTAGAAGCTCGAGTGCAGCAACACCCACTACCAGCACGTGGCCTTCATGCTGGTTGCCAACTCTTATAAGCTGGCCATCCGTCGAGGCCATCATCTCCAGTGCCAAAGTGCACATGATCTTTAAGCAGAAGCAGCTGTTGCAGCTAAAGTCAAGTGTCTCAACAACCTGGCAGCCTCACAGCCAGGCTGGACCACCACCATGCCGCCTTGCACTCCTGCAGCCTGGCTCGAGCACCAGTTCAACATCAAAGCCCACTTCCACAGGGCAAGGCACTGGAACAGCAGGACGAGTACGGTGTGGCCAGTGCCATCCTGCAGGCAGCACCAAAGCTGGAGCCCTCCAACCAGACAATGCAAGCCGAGCTCTTGAAGCTGGTACGTGCCATCCCAGCTCTTGGGCAGCTGAGGCATGAGGGTTGCTCCAAGTTTGGGGCCAACCTCGGTTACACAGCAAGTTCAAGGACTGCCTGAAACACATGTAGTGAGACCCTGTCTCAAAAAACAAAAATAAAAAACCAATCCAAATTTTGCCAGACAGTTTGTGAGCCAGACTGTTTGCAGACAAAAGCATTCAGGAAGTGAGGTACCACTGTATATAACTGGAATTTGGGAAGGTTTCTGAACACAAAATTTAACATGCAAAATCAATTTCTAAACACCGGCAACAGACAATAAAAATTGCTAAGAGGGGGCTGGTGAGATGGCTCAGTGGTCTAAAGCACCTACTTGGAAAAAAAAACAAGCTTAGCAAAGCACAGGGACCACGGTTCAATCCCCCAGCACCACATGCCAGCCAGCCCCGCCCCCTGGTGGACTGAGCTGGCCACACACACACACACACACACACACACACATAAAATAAAATAAAAAATAAAATGTTAAAAAAGTTGCTAAGAGATAGGTACAATACTATCAAAAAGCAAAAATCTAAACAAAAATATATGCAAATCCACTATGTGAAAAAATTATAAACTCATCTGAAAGACAGTAGACAGATATGTCGTGTTCAGGGGCTGAAGTCTCTATACCACACAGATGCAGATCTTCTTAAAGTGATCTTATGGATTCAGTGGGATCCTATATTCGTAAAATTCATTTGTGAAACAAGTTTATTGTAATATTTAGATGAAACTATAAAGGCTGTGACAGTCATTGTTGCTTTCAGGACCAAGGTGCTTAGCCAAGCTCTCCCAGATTGGGGGATAAAGGTGCTGTGCTGCTGCCCCCAGCTGGCCAGGATCTGTGGGGGTGACGTACAGGCTCCCCCAATAAGGGGGAGCTGGGGAAAGAGGAATGCAACCTTCATTAACATCACAAAACTTTTGACCTTTAGGTTGTAGATCTGAGAGAAGCAAAGTTGTTTATGAGACATTCAGAATATGCATTATCTTTAAGAAACCCTTCCCTATTATGAAGTTATAACCAGTGATAAACATCAGAAGCCAACACCTCATTAAAGACACACAGATGGAATGGAAACATACGCAAAGATGCCCCATAGCAATGTTCAGGGAAATGCAAATGAAGGCACCAGTAAGACGTTACCAGGGCTCGATCTAACAGCCAGTTATAGAACACACCCACCAATGCCAGACCCACCAAGGAACCGGAGCAGCACTGCTTGTTCTCAGCTGGTGAAACACAAAGTTATTAAGTCATCTTAGAGGACCTTTTGGGAGTCTGACAAAACCAAACACGTGCTACCATACAATGTGGCAGTTGTGCTCCGTGTTTTGCTCAGAGGAGCTGAGTGCTTACATTGCAACGAAAACCAACCCAGAGATGCTTACAGAATTTTGTCCACAATTGTCAATTCTGGCAGACAACCAAAGTGCCCATCAGTAGGTGAATGAAAAACTGTGCCAAAAGGGAACCCGATGTGAACTGCAGACCTGTGTGATGATGTGTTGGTACAGGTCCATCAATCTTAACTGCTGTATCACTTCAAAGCAGGATGCTGGTGGTGGGCTGCACATGCGTGTGAACAGGAGGAACAGCTGCCCCTCTATGGCAGAAGCCATGTGCCAGGCCCTGTGCATGCATGCAACCTGGGTAGATCCAAACCCAAGTTGTTGTTTTACATTTATTTATTCATTTGGTACAGGGTCTTGCTACGTAGCTCAGACTCATAGTGATCCTCCTGTCTCAGCCTCCCCTGTGCTGGGACTGCAGGTGTGCACTACCATGCCCGGTTTTGGTGGCTGGCATGGAGGCACAGCATGTAGTAATGGGGATTGAACCCAGGTCCTTGCACTGGCCAGGCAGGTGCTTTGACCACTGAGCTATCTCCCCAGCCTGAGTTTGACTTATACATTAAATTAGTGCTAGAACAATCACGACCCTATACATATAAAGCGTCTGTGAATGCGGTCTCTGCCTTGAAAGATCCTGTACTGCACTCACTCTCCACGCGGTGATGCAGGATGTGACCACACGTGCATGCTGAAGTACATGAGGTAAACCACATGGCACCGTGGTACAGTGCAGGCAAGGGCTGGCCCTCTCATGTGAACAGACACTTGATCTGCCATGGCAGACCTGATACCTGAGATGGCCACACAGTAGGTAGAGAACATGGTGTGGACCTGCTGGGAGAGGGACAGCACATGCCCCAGGTAGGCTACAGCGGGACAGTGTGGGGTTTCACCACACTACTCAGAAGGGCACGGATTTACATTTTATGAATTATTTTTGGAATTTTCCACTTAACGTTTTCTAACTATGGTTGACTGAACCTGCAGAAGGTGAACCTATGGGTAAGAGGACACTGCTCATTATAGACACTTTCTGCTCAGTCTTGCTACGAACTTCAAATTGTTCCAAAAATAAAGTTTGTTCTAAAAAGCAGAAACTGCAAAGGAAGAAGATTATTCACATTAATTTTTGTTCATCAAAAAGTATACTATCAGAATGGGAAGGAAACAACCACATTCTGGGAGAAGATATCTGCAAACATTTAACCAAGAAGAATTGCTGTCTAGGGTATGTGAAATACTCCTAGGACTGCTACAAATGAGCAGAAAGGTTGAATATTGTAGCTACAATTCATCCCTGTAGCCCACTCAGTTGGCAAGAGCAAACAGGTCTGATGAGATCGGGCATTGCCAAGGCTGTGAGGTGAGCTCCTCAGCTGCTCCCGCTTCAGAGAGCTGCAGGTGGCTCCTCAGAGGGGCCTGGTGTGACCACAACTTACCCGTGGGACAGCAACCGCACAAACTGCAGACAGTGGAATAACCAAGAACTAGAAACACCACAGATATTTATCAATAAAATAGAATTTTAAGGTATCACAGTATATTCACAATGGAATACTGCTGAACAAATAGTAATAAAAGTGAACTAATTCCAAGATTAACAATGGGTGAACCCCCAAAACTCAATACTGAATAAAAGAACACATAATGAAATTATATATAT